TTCAGTTTCGATTTTGTGCATTCCTTTGGAGTTATCCTAATAAGACTGCCACACAATTGATAATAAGTCACAATCCTTGCAGTTTATACAGATCTTGTCCAATGCTGCTTTATAAATTTCAAGTACAGTGGTGCCTCGTATAACGTACTTAATCCGTTCCAGGTGCACGTCCGTTATACAAAATGCATTTTCCCATAGAAATACATGTTAAAACATATAATTCGTTCCGCAGCATAAAATAATCATACTGTACCATAAAAAAAAATGAAAATGGAGTAGTCACCAATTATACCGGGTAGTCAGATGTGAGGAGGATATGGAGGAACACTTTCTTCACACATTCATACAGATACAGACTTTTTACACATTGCAGCAGGTCTCTTTTTATTGTTTTTTAATCAGAGTCAGATTCAGGAGGGGCTACCGGAGCTTACAGGGTCAACTCCTCTTGTTCCATCCTTTGTTTTTTGGCAGCTGGCTTCTTGAAAAACATGTCCAAGGTGGTCTGTTTCTCTCTCTTCTTCAACACCTGTCGGAAATGATGGGCAAGGGTGTCATTGTAGAGATCATTGATACTGTTGGCCTCAGCTCTGTTTGGATAACGAGTGTTTGTAAACTCCTGAACCTCTCCCCATTTGACAAGGAAGTCCTTGTCAACTTTCACTCCTTCTGATGATTTCTTGCTTTATTAAAAATTGAAATCACCTTTGTGTTTTTAGAAGCCACGATTTGCACAACACTTGAATAAAAGTAAATACCCTGCACTGAGGTGATGTACATAATAAACAAGAGAGCAAGCCGAATCCCAACAGGAGCTCTGTACTTCAGATATACTAATAATATATTCTAATAATACTAATATATTATAAAAATAGCAGATTGTCATTGGCAATGGCAAAACAATGGAAACATCATTTGCACTTGTTTGCAGAAAGTCCGTTGTTTGCCTCACGTAACTGCCGAACGGAAAGTCTGTTGTTCACAGCCAGTCCGTTGCTCGAGTCACGTAGCGGCTAAATAGAAAGTCCGTTGTTCACAGCGTCCATTATACAAGGCACCACTGTATCTCTAAAGTTCTTGTCTTGTCTCTTTTAAAGTTCACTTTTATCAATTTTGTATCTTCAAGCTTACCATCTCCTTGTTTAGAGGTATATATGGCTAGTGTGGTGGATTTTTTCCCCCTCAATATCATATTTATGTTCATTTTTTCTACTACAAACTGATCTACTTGTACCTCGAATGTAAACCAGGTCATGATCCAATCCATCATCCTTAACTGAGACTGAAATATCTCTGGTGCTTTAAATAACATTATGTTTCCTTACTGTTGCATAGAAGTTGATAAATCATGCCATTATGTCAATATGTGAATTTGGCTCTTACTTTCCTTGTTATTTCTTCATATAGAAATTTAAACTTGTGTCAAAGTCCACTACCATCCATCTAGACTCAGCTGGAGTGCTTTGTTGTATATTAGTATTTGATTGGGGTTGCTCACCATTAATACTAATGTACAACAAAATACTCCAAATGTTCCAGAAATAGAACAAAGATATATTAATGTATAAGTAAGCCTGAAGTTGATCTGCAAAACAGTTTGAAAACATTTGTTCAATCATTAAATAATTGTGCTAAAAAGTGAAAAGGTTATTTATGAGATGTTTTTGAATTAATTTCCAGTTTGAATTTCCTTTTTCATTAAAAATATTTCTGAAAGTTTTTAAACATTAAAAGTAATATAGCAGGAAACAGCATATTAAGTCTTGCCATTAATTACTTCAATCTATGTACTAATTTTTAATATGTAGGCCTACAATGTACACCTTTATTAAAGATGTTTGATAAGACAAGAATTGATTTGGACTAATATTAGTCCTTACAAGAAAAAATTAGCTGATTAAGTACTTCAACATGGTTCCAGGACTGAATAAGTCAATATTTTTTTAAACAGACTTTATTTTATTAAGAATCTTAACCTCAATTTTACTAGCGACATTCCAAAGAAGAAATTTTTCTCAGTTTCTAGAGTATTTAAGGTTACTGCAATGGGTTCCATAATCTTCACATATTCTTTAAAAAAATCCAGCTGATGTGTTTGAAAAATAATACGTTTAAAACTTTTCAGATGTCTGATAGAATTGTTCAATTTCAACAGCCTCTTATCTGCACTGTACTTTGAATTCCAGGCAAAACAAGAGAAGATAATTTTGTGTTTTTCTTCATCACAAATTTTCCCTACTTCATCAGATGTCTTCGAACTTATAAGAATGGCATTCCATAAGGACTGACACTTTTCCATGGCACTATAATGAATCTGAAAATAAGCTGATATTCAAAGTATCAGTTGTTACTATCAAATTCAAGGCATGGCAAACACACTTCAAATGAGAAGATAATACTTCACTTAAAATTGCAAATCACTGTTCAAAAATCACTAAAATTCATAAAAAAGCTACCAAAAATGAAATGTTATGCATGCTTTATCAAAAACAAAAACATTTCATCAATTTTTATAAAATTATATGAATTCTTTTCATTTTCTAATTGTCATTTATCAATGACTTCATCTCATCACTAATATCTACACTCTACTGTATGCATTGTCATCAAGGCCAGATTTATATTTATATCCATCTTTATATATAAATACACATAAAAAAGTGATTTTTCAATTATAAAACAGAACTGATATTCAACAAAGCTTACCTGACAATTTAAGATAACAAAGGTTGATGCATACATGAAGTAAAATTAAAATAACAAGGAGCCTCAATGACAGGCTCAACTAAATATCTTTAATGACTGTCAAGGTCAAAAGAAATACAGTAGAGCCTCGAAAACTCGGCACTCGATAACCCGGCACTCTGGATAACTTGGCCACACCCTGGCAGGGCAAAAATACCCTTAGATAATTAATTTTCATCATAGACAGCTTTATGCCACATAAAGTATTTTTCTGGGGTCTGTCTTATCAAGTAAATTACTGTACACAGTGTATTCATTAATTTTCACTTTCATGTAGTAAAGGCTCTACGCCTTCATAAAGGACGTACTTTTCCTTTGTTTGGGCAGTTTATTCTCTGTTGTATTCTCAAGCAAACAATACATACAAGTACAGTACAATATTTTCTGAGGAAACACGCATACTTATCCTTTTTTAACCCCATTTCCGATAACACGGCATTTTCACAAACTCGGCCACCCTTCAGTCCACATTAGGCTGAGTATTCGAGGCTCTACTGTAATTGGTGAAACTACTTCTCAACACTATCATTTTACCACTGTATGCAATGACTTTACAAAACCAACTGAATACAGTATACATAATAGTGAATGATTATAGAATTGATAGTTTTAAGATTGTTATTATTATTATTAAATAGACATTATTTATATAATTTATCATTTTTTTGCCTTATAAGATGTACTGTTGTATTAGACATATCACATTTTTCACATGAATGTTTTGGGATAAAAAATAGTCTTCACATTGTAAGATGCATCCTAATTTTCAGATAAATTTTAAGTATAAAAAAGTGTATAATAGTAAACCACTTCTTGCCCAATTAAATAATAAAAATATATAATAAAATAGTGTATCTAATAAGGCAAAAAATAGAGTAATTTAAATAATTGACCTACTGACTTCTATTTAACAAAAATTTCTCATTTTAAACCACAATATTTAAATTAATGAATCTTTCAATAAATTAATATTTGATAATAAAGAAACGATATAGAAAAGTTCTGTCAATAAAATGATTAAACTAATATTGAAATGTAAGCTCTTTAGAAAGATGATAAAAGGAAAAATTTAAGGAATTTTTGACGAGACTGTCTCGTCTCTAAAATCATACTGCTGTCAACGGCTGCACACCTTAAGCCTTGGTCACACCATGCTTCCAGCTGCGCAGTCAACTGCAAGTACGATGGCTGTTCCCATTAACTAGTAAATCCCCTTTGAAAACCAGTGTGACTGCAACCACGACTAGAAACAAAAAGTTTGTTCTACTCGTGCCAATTGCAAACGCGCATCCAATCAGCAAATGCCTTTGTGCCATGTCATACAGTGACAACATTGAAAATAGTTCATCCTCATGGCGGATAGTTAGAGGATTTATACTTTTACAGAATCAAGATTGATTGAGCTTATTCGGGCTCATGAATACCTGTGGATTGCAATTCTTCATTTTATCAAAGATTTTATCTTTTTGTGTATTCTCGCCAGCTATATCAAAATAATTGCCTTTTTTTCTTTTATTCATTCCAGAAAAGGAACTGCTTATCATTTTAATAAGAAAAGTGGCTAAAATTGTGTAAATACTGTGAAGTAGAACGTAAAATGTTGGTAAACTCCTGAAAGTAGTCAAAAATGAGCTACTGTAATTTTATTGATTTATTATAGGGTCACGTGTTTCCAAGTTGCAACGTCAACAAACAATGTGTGACCACGAGAAAATGCACGAGACTCGCACTTGTTGCAGTTGCAGTCGCCTGCGCAGCTGGAAATTGCATAATGTGACCAAGGCTTTAGAGGTATGAAGGAGTACATTTCAGGAGTTGCAATTTGGCACAGAAGTATTTGGTGCCTAAATCATGCACACATAAAATAAACCAGATTTGTAGGTAGTCAGTGGACCAGGTCAAAATAAAATACAAAATGCTGAGACTGTTTCTAAAAACAGATGCGAGTGCGAGATTTGCACATGCGTTGCTCACGCTCTCTGAGACATAGTCTCGTCCCAAGAATGGCTTTGCCATTTTACTTGTTATAGTTAAAATCATGCGGCTAAGTCAGAACTCTTCAAACTCCAATCAAAATTAAAAATTACAAAAAAAATTAAGTTTTCTTAGAATGAAAATTTTGAATCTTTAAAATCCAAGAATTTATGAGCTTTGTTGCCTCCTCTTCATACCATAAATTGTTCAACATCAAATTGCAGTAATATATTCAATTTCTGATAAAAATAATTGAATTATATATTAATTTCATAACTGACCTGCAAATTCTTGTTGAAGTGCACGTGCAAATGCTCTCCCAACTACTTGAGCTCCTAAAACAATTATTTGTATAAGATGTTTGGCCTAAAAAAAAAAGAGAAAAAGAATATCAAATAATTAAATAATCTTAAATTTAATAATTAAAATATTTTTCACAAAACATGCTTATAACAAATAAAATATACAGGACAATCAAATGAAAGAAAGAGCAAGAAGTAACATGGGAGTTTGATGATTTTATAAGCCATACTTGACCAAGCCATGAGTTGACACAACAGAAACAGCCAGCTCATAATGTTGGTCTAATTTGTAGCATCACCAAACTCCCACACTACCACAAGTTCTATTTCGGTTTGATTACCCAATATTTTACCATCAAGATTATAGTATACAGTCAAACCTTGATCTTCAAATGACTCACTTTTCAAACAAATTGGTTCACGAACAGAAATTTGAGCTCATAATTGCACCAGTTGGCAAGAGCCGACCACAGATTAGAGAAACATAGATGGTCAACTCCCTCTACTTTCTATGGTAAAGAAAGTCAATGGCCCAAGCAATTGACAACAGGACTACTGATTCAGAAGTTAGTGGTGCCGAGATCACCCTGCATCATTAGACGTCATGACATCAATCATCAATGATGTTATTACTTAAATTAGATTTCAATGCACATGTGGGAAAGAAACTAATTCTGTTTTTCGGTACACACCCCCAAATTAATTAATAAAAACTGCATTAATTGATATTCACATATAAATGGCATCCAAGAATTTGTGTTTAAAGTTGCATAAGTCAAATTAAATAACAAAAAATTTATTAAGTATAATTTTATTATTTCTCATTAATATGCAATTGATGCTTGGCATTATGTTTAACAGTATTAATCAAATGCATAAACTTTTAATAAACATCTTTTAGAAAGATAACAAATTCAGCTAAAAAGGTTAAAAAAAAAAAAAGGCTTTATTTTGGAGGTCAAGAATGGATTTTCCATTTTGTATTGTTTCTTATGTGAAAATTTTTGATTTTAGAACAACTTTTAGGAACAAATTATGTTCGAAAACCAAGGTTTGACTATAATTACAATAAAACAGAAAGAGAGAGGATATTGAGAAGACAATAAATACAACTCCTCAAGTTATTCTAAAAGTTATGAAACATTCAATACAGCTACGAATACTGTATATTTATAAAAATATTAATGAAAGTAATTTATGTTATAGTCAGAAGGAATCTGACAGGTGAAATGAATGATGAGTGTTACTGGGAAAAGTATTTAAGATGTTGTTCAATCTAAATTATTTTCAGCTTTGATAGAAGTAGGTAAAGTAATTATTCTGTTGGCAGAAAAATGTAAATATAAAATTTTTTTGATAAATGTATTTAATTATTCAAAGTTTTATTATTTTGTGATAAACAATTTTTATACCTTTTCAGTACAAATTACAATCATAAAATTATTGGGTTGATGCAAGAGTTTCTGGAATTTTCTAGTATTACAGTACAACATTTATTTATAGGCCTGTGTTGGGTTTTCACATAAAATTAAAAGGCTTGAACTAACCATTCTGATTAATGTTCTTACAGTATTCTTAAAAAATTCGAAATATTATTTTAAATGCGAACAACTATATATTTTAACTACATATTAAACATAATATATAAGCATAAATATTACAAAATTTGATGCAAAGATAAATACACTGTAAAATAAGCTTTGACTTTTGGAAATAGAAAGTAGTCATAACTTGTCAGACTGTAGGAAATTCATTGGACTAGACTGTAAGGAAATTCATTGTCCTGAAAGACTATATACTGAATGTATATAGTCCTTCAGGTGTGCAAAGATCATAGATGTGCAAAGATCAGAATTTTAGGGTCTTCTGGTTTACCATGGGAATGCTTCAGCATGCACAGCATGAGGACAATGAATTTCCTTACAGGCTAAATCTGGCATGTTATGACTACTTTCTATTTCCAAAAGCCAAAGAACTGTGTCTTCTTTTTATAGAGAATACATTGAAAGCATTTCAGAAAACCAGTACAGTAGATCCCCCTATAACACGGGTTCATATAAGACAGATTCATATAACACAGTGGAAAAATTGTGATCGTGTTTGTATAACATGGTAAAAGAATGAGACAGATTGTCACAGCCGACTCGTGTCTCAACAGGATTGGTCAAATCTGAACCAATAGTGGATATTGCACAAACTGTTGAGTTTAATTAAATGAGCAGCAGACCTATTAAAAAACATTTATTATTCAACGGCCATAAAAATTATATTTCTATTAATGATGTCTCCAAAGTTCAACAAATTTTTCACAGAAAGAATTTATCAGGAAACATGCGTCCACCATCCAATGAGCCACTCTGCAATGAAAACAAGCTTAAGCAATGGCATCTTCAAACAGTGTGCACTCGGTAAGCATTCCTACAACTTTTTGTTTACAGCATATTTTATATGAATTATTCCCAAAAAATTATACATGTTTTGGAAATGTTTGAATCAAATTAGTCTAGAATCAATTAATTTTATGGAAGAAAACCTTTCAAACTTTAAATATTTTTTTGCTTTGAAAACTTAAATCGAATATTTATATACATGATTCAAATGAACAAAAGTATTAGCACAGTGATGATATCTAAGTAAATTAGTTTCATCTATGTCATTTTTTATGCCCAGTATGGTAGATAAATGAAATCCAATGTTTCTTTTAACCTTATCAGGTACGAAAATTGTTATTTCAATCAATTTGTTGTTATTACCAAAATGAATATCAGAGGTACTGAAACAACAATAGAAGAAAGAAAAATCATTGCACATTTGTACAGTCTTAACGAATCATGTTCAGAAATTGGAAAAATAGTTAAAAAGAGTAGGTTTACTGTAAAAAATGTAATTAAGTGTTTTAAATTCACTAACAGCTTGGAAAATAAACCAATATACGGCTCCCAGAGAAGAGAGAAATGTAATCGGTTCAGTCAAGAAGCCAAAACTATCTTCAACTGAAATTGCAATGATGCTAAAGGAATTTGTACAAGATAGTTCATCCAAAAACTGTCTGCCGAATCCTTCATCATGCTGGTTACAGATCGAAAATAACCAGAAGCCATATATAAATAAAATTAATTGAAAGAGGCTTGCTTTTGCAAAAGATAATTTATTTTGGTCTAAAAGTGTTGTTTTCAGATGAAAGTAAATTCATTTTAATTGGTAAGAATGAAAAAAATTTACTTTGGAGAAAACCAAACACAGAAGAATGTTCAAGCCACAGAAAAACATGGGGATTGTAGTGCGACAGTATGGAATATACCTATGTGGGAAACGGATAAAATGATGTATTTAAATATTTTCAAGGAAAATCTTCAGTAAAATGCAGATAAACTAAATTTGGACAACTTTTATTTTCAGCAGGACGATGCCCATAAACATATGGTTTATATTGTCCATCAACAAATACTTTACCATACACCTCACACTTTAAAACATCCCCCCACACTCCAGATTCAAATCCTATCGAACATTTACAGAAACAACTTGACGACAGAGTGAGAAAACAAGATATCAAACTTAGAACCTTTCAAAAGACTCAAAAGACTTCTCCTCAAAAAATGGAAGAAAATTTCCTCTGAAATCATGCAAAAATTAATGCATTCAATGCCAGAGACTAAGAGCTATTATTACAAACCTGGAATTCACTACAGAACATAAATTGTAATATATTTTTAGTATTATATTTAACTGTGCCAATACTTTTGACCTTTTGATGAATAGGAAACGTCATTAATTTTTTAAGAACATATCATTATGTAAATTTAGTGTGTAATGTACTTTATATTACTCTTAACTGTGTGTATATGATTTTTGCTTTGAAAACAATTACTTTATTCTAACTAAATTTCACTAAATATTCAAAAATACATGTCTTTTGTTTAAATACAAGTCCACGTGATTATTAACTTCATTACAACCAAATTTATTTGGTTGTAATGAAGTTAAATCGAATCAAAGCTCTTAAAATAATTCGCTGTTACTTACCACCATAATTTTTAAATAATCATAATTTTTAGGTATATACAATATATATAATTTCCACTTTTATTATAAAGTTTAAAATCACATGCAATAACCTTTCGATGATTTCTCTAACAATATTGCCACCAGATGTCGCGCATCGATTACTATATACAATATTAATTAATTTTTATAAATTGTATTCGATGTATTTTTTTAAAAATAAATTAAAATGAAAATAATATTAATTTTATTATATAGATATACGTGTGTATTAATTTTCTTTTAAGAAAGAGTTAAAAGTCCCACCAGGAGCTATGGAAAAAAAAAAACATGTAGATTAGTGTATAGCGCGAAAAAAACATCAGTTCCAGAACAGTCGGCACCCAGCTCTCCAGAACAATCAATATTCAAACGAAGGACCTATTAGTAGAGGCGAAGAAGCTCCAGAAAGCGGACATAACCAGGATATCTATGAAACTTCATTTTAGAGGGGGAAGATCTGTTATAACCTTCCTTGTCGCAATATACCATGGGAGAGAATCCCCGTGCCTTCTTATGGTATATTGCGACAACAGATCTTCCCCCCTCTAAAATGAAGTTTAAAACAACAACTTACTTCTCTTTGTCTAACTTAGTATTGGTTTTGATCATCAGTCCAGTCGAAGATATTACGAATCGAATAAAGATATTTATTAATTAACCATTAGTTTTATTTCAGAGTGCTCAATGCAAAAGCCTATTCATTCGTCACGTCATTTATGAGAGGCGGCAGGATGGGCGGTCAGTTAAAGTGCAGCCTATCTCTCCGGGAATCCGGAAATGAATTCGGACGCATCAAAAAACCTCAGGAATTTTTCGGGGAATGGTCCGTCTTGGATATGTCAGTCCCGTCCCTCACCGTCCGGCCGCCTTATTGTGGGCCTGGCCGAATCCATAATGGGGTTGGTTAGCAGGCTTTAGCAGGTTAAGCTGAAAGAGAATCTCTTAGTGCCCGCAGGGCGGAAAGAGTTAAAAAAAAAACACATACTTAGATTCTCCACGTTAAATGTAAGCGTACAGACGAGCGCTTATTAATCCTTGATTTAGAAGATTTTATATTTCACAGAATAAACAAATGCTTATTTGTTTATTCTGTGAAATATATCCGAAGCGCATAAGCAAGGATATACAGAAGGCAAAATTACATTTGAAGATTTTAATAAAAGAATTATCTCAAATATCCTAATTTTGTTTTACTAATAAATTTTATTTGTTTTATTAATACAGTAATAATTTTTCTCAAATTTTGTATTTTTCTGTACAATGAAATAAAATAATTAAATCATATTTTCTATACATTCACATAAGTATTTCATTTGAATGTATACAAAATATGATTTTATGACAGACGATATATTGCTTTTCAAGTCTGGCAACACGAAATTCGATGCTGTTGATAGTTGTTTACATCTTGCACGCAATTGGAAGATTACATGGCAAGTGTGCTTATTTTGTCTAATTCGTTTAATAAAGATTATTTAGATTCATTCAGAAATATATTATATTGCTAACTTATATTTTCACGAGAAATTTAATATTTCGTATACAAAATGAATGTTACACATTAGCGAGGTTGAGGCCGAAGTTTTCAACGCGAAAATGTATGTCGGACGTTCAGCGCCGTCTTCCTGTAAGCCTAGAAGTTTGACAATGGCGTTTGAAACGTCAGTGGAATCATGCTCGACGTTCCAAACGCTATTGTCAAACTTCTAGGCTTACAGGAAGGCGGCACTGAGCGTCCGACATATACGTTTTCGCGTTGAAAGCTTCTAACCTCGCTATTATATTAATGTCAATGACTGCCTTTAGGACATATTAAACTTATCACTTTTCTATTCCTTGTGACTGGTGGAAGCTTATACAGGTAAGATTTTACCTATGAGCACCGTCTTGGCTCCCAACAGACTCCTCCCAGAGGGGAGCCTCCAATTGTATAAAGTCACTAGTTATTGATTCACAGTAGTTCTTGAACACACGAAGGAGTCCGTCAGCAGCACAAACAGTCGTGACCGGAAGTGCAGCCATGATGGTGCACGTAGATAAAATCTTACCAACAAAACTGTACTAAAGAACTTGTTTTGCTCCTTGCTCACAATTTAGTCTTTAAGTAAGAAAATTAATACAACTAGAAATTATTAATAATTTATGTCCAAAAAGTAAAGATACATTGCATATAAGCAGAAAGCTAATGTTTTAGTGCATATATTGACAACAGTGAATTTGTCTGGAAGCTTTCATGCTCTTTTTGCAGTCGTTTGTCATTGCCATTCTGAATCTGGTTCAAGTGGCCGCTTCGATTCGGAATCCTGCTAAATGTGAAGTGTGCTCTGTCATACATTTTGTCAATGCAAAAGGTGAGTGCCCAGCAGATATTCATAAACAAATTTTTTATGTTTATGGGAACATTATGAATCGACAAAATGTAAGAAAGTGGTGCTGTGCATTCTCTGGAGGTAGGACTGATGTTTGTGACAAACATGGGAGTGATAGGCCATCCGTGATCTCTGATTAATTTCTTCGAATAACTGAGAAAGCAATTAGTGCAAATTGGTGATTTACAATAAGAGAATTGCATGAAATCATTCCGGAAATGTCTAAGTCCATGCTTCATGAAGCTGTGACTGTAACATTAGGGTACAGGAAATTGTGCACGTGCTGAGTACCCAAAATGTTGACAGACAGACATAAAACAAAATGGATAGGTTTTGCACTCAACTTCACGTGCTATGCACATGCAGGAGATGAGTTTCTTGACTACATTGTGACAGGTGATATAACTTGGTTTAACTATTTTACTCCTGAATCCAAGCAACAATCACTGCAATGGCGCCACACACGTTCCAAAAATCTGAAAAACTTCAATTTCAGCAAAAAAAAAAATTAAAAAGACATTCTTATGATTGACTTAATGTCTCCTGGCACCACAATTAATGCTGCTACATATTACCAAACCTTGTAACACTTTCAACAGTCCATTCAAAATAAACAGAGGTGAATGTTTCATGACAATACTCTGGCTTACACAGCAATTGTCACCAAAACATTTCTCAAATGATTCAAGTGGGATGTTTTTAACCATTTGCCATACAGCCCAGAACTTTCTCCCAGTGATTTCCACTTGTTTCTTTATCTGAAGAAACATCTTGCAGGATAACACTTCCACAACAATAATGAGATCAAAAATGAAGTTGAAGCAAGTGGTAGAATTCTAAAACTCTGGGATACAGAAGCTAATATCCTCACTTAACAAGTGTTTGGACAATGGCAGAAATTACATAGAAAAATATGTACCAGTTAATAAGGTGTAGAAACATTTGGTCAAATAAACTGCAGGTAAATAGCACATGTTCGGTGAGAACCTCACAGGTCACCACATAGGTTTTATAAGAAGTAAAGCCGAATTCCTTGAAATGTAGCCCAAATTATTTTTAAAGTGGCCCAAAACGTAGTAGCCTAGATCCCTACAAATATCTTAGTCTCCTACTTGTAGCTCAATCTTGAAACCCAGCTGTATTTTATGAGATAAGAGGGGAAAAAAGTGTATTCTATGGGTAAGGTGACACTCAGAAATGTGTTACTGTAAGAGCAAAGTCATATTGAACAGATTAGAGTTGTTCTTGGTCTACTGTTTTCTTATAACATGGAGGCACTTCTTTCTAATGGATTCACACAATCCAAGGTGCATGCGTGACTTGGATTGTGTGAATCCATTCGAACCTACAACTCAAATTCAAGCTTTAAACGACATGATTGAACGGATTTCTACGTCTAACGGATATCAAATGTCTTTATAGAAACTGATTTGAACCTGAAGCAGAGCCCAGAAGGGGTTCGAAAACGTTTGTTTACCAATCTTTTGCATGATCGCACCGTAAATGGTTCAGGTGTGTAAATTTTTTAGTCATTCCGGTGCGATGAATAGTGAATTTATTTTCTATCTAAATGAACAAGTTAACTTATGCATATCTCAATTCAGACAGAATTTTCACTTTGAATTACAAAGTAGCTGTATTTCAAACTAATTGAATTCCTAACGTGTAAATCTCTATATCCGTGGCTGGGACAAATAGTAGTTATGAACTAACGGAATTTTGAACTATCCGAATTCAAATTAACAAGGATTTTCCGTATTCACTGTAGTGAGTGGCATTTGGTAATTCTACATGTTTGGAATATTGGAAGTTAGCAAAACAGAATTTGCTGGTTTGAGTGTCAGATTTAGTGACACTAGAAGTGTGTTAACATAACTATTTTATGCAATTAAAAACAAATCTTTGTAGTTCCAGCAACAAATTTATTAAAATAAAAATGTTTTTGATCCTAAATACAAAATTGATAAGAACTTCTGTAATACTGTGTTGGTAGCCTATGCTTATCATCTGGACATACAAATAAATTGGGATCAAGTGAAAGTCATCAAAGCTAACTCTAATACACAGTCTAGGTTATCTAGAGAAGTTGGAAATTTATAAGGCTCATAGAAGATTTATATGCATCAATCATTTTCATACCAACAGTCTTTTCAATGCATGGTGGTCACTTTTTGAGATTTAATTATTTATGCTCTCTTTGATTAGTTATCTATCTTTATTTGTATTTCATCATATGTATTTATTTATATACTATATTTACTCACATATAAGACAAGGTTTTTATTAATTTTTCACCGCTTAAAAAGCCTAGGTTATCCTATACGCGCAAATGAAGGATTCTTTGTGTTTTGGAAACAATTTTTACGAACCATGTATTCGCATTTTTTACCAGATGCTCACCCTCTTGTGTTTAAAAACAAAAGTATTTTATCTGGGTCATTTGAATCATTCTTGTGTATTGTCAGGAGTAAAGATGAATAGCAATAGGAACAACAAAGCCTTTGAATTGGATTCCAAATTGAAATTCCAAAATCACACAGGAGCCCTATATAAGTTTTAATCCATTCCTAGGTGAAAACAGATGATTATTTGGCAATCAGAGTGTAGAGAAACTCATAAGTGTAATTGACGGAGAGTGGATTTGACTGTTAAGCATTGGCAAAAAAGGTTCCCGATTGTCCAACTTTACATGAATAAATTATGTTGTTGATTTTACAAAATTTTTCCTTAAAGTTTAAAATGC